TTTAACATGGGGAATTACACTGATATATCTGCTTAGATTAGAGACATGTTTGTATTTCTGGGATGAATTCTGCTTGCTTTTCTGTTAAATACTGATATATCCAATTTACTAATATTTTACGTGGATATTTTGCACCTGTATTTGTAATTTTAATTTTGTGTGTTCATTCTCTTTCTGGGCACTGTTCTTGTCTGATTTTGAAGGAATACTATGCTTTGGAAAGGTGGTTACTTCTGGGCCCTCTCTTACATGTCATGACCCCAGCTGCTCAGAACTGGGCCTGTGCCCTGGAGTAGCTCTGGGAATTTGCAGCTCCCAGGTCCTGGGTGGTGGTTGCCGGACCTCACCCAGTGCCTCTGCAGCTTCGCATCAGGCAGAGACTCATGGAGATGCTTTGCAGGTGTTGGGCTGCCTCTGCCTCTGCGTGCAGGTCCCTTCTCCCCAGTACTCAGCCCTGCAATTCTAGCTGCTTAGCCTCCTGAAGCAGGTCTCTGTCTCCTCGGCTGGGCAAAGCCATTGCGCTCCACCCGGGTCTGTGGTCCACAGAGTGCTCTTCTACATCTCATGGATTCCTTTCTCTTGGGAATCAGTCTTGGGCTGCCAGATGTCCAGCGTTACAAACAGATGTTTTCTATCTTCCATCCAGCCTTCTTGCTGTGTATGACAAGAAGACTTGTTTGCGACAGTTATTCCATCATGACTAGCATAAAAAATGATCTTTTTAAATGTAAAACTATAATTTTGCCATTGCTTTGTGTTTGGAAGGGAGGAGGACAGTGAGAGGGTTAATTCTCTGTGGTTTCTTGAGCAGAAGTCCTGGCCTAGGATTGTCCTCTGAATTAATTGTTGGGTGTCCCCCTCCTTTTCTTTTTCATGTCCACAAACAGTATTTCTCAGAAGCTCTCTCTTTTTTTCTGTTTCACTGAACTTCTCAGGCTAGCTCCCTCAAGGTGCTTCTGTATTGGAGGTTTAGTAACCTGTCACGGCTCCTACAAGTTAGTTATGATGTTCTTTTCTCTTTGTCTGTAACCAGTTTGTTCCTCCTTCCGAGTTCTTCTGGAACACATTGGAAATGGGCTTCTGAAACTGTTTCTATAATAAGTAACTGTCATATACTGTTAAATTTCACTACAGACCTTGTGTGTTTTTAGTGTATATCTGAATATTAATTTTGTTGGAAAAACATCTGCTTTGGATTGGAGAGTGTTCAAGTGAGTACCATGCAAACCAAGTTTGGAGGTGTAGACATTATTATATAATGAAATAAAAGTCATCGACTACCATTCCCTTGGCCGTGCCTTGAAATCCCAGCATCACTTGGAATTAGTCAATAATGAATCTCAGAATCCTATCCTAGGTACAGAACGTTCTGCCATTTAATTGACCTCACACTTGACCATCTAGTTGGTAAATAAGAGATAACTGTAAAAAAAAAAGATTAATAACATGCCACAGCACATGTGAATGTGAAATGGATGATAAAAGTGGGACAGGAGCTCAGATGGTGCCAAGATCCTGGTAGGGGTGGGCAGGCATTTGGGAAAAACAGAGAAGAAAAGCACTTGGGGACTGGAATCGAGGGGCAATGTATTCCTGAACAGGGCACCCTGTCTGCAGAGACAAGGAGGCGAGAATTCTAGAGAACCTGGGCTCTTATGCAGGGGTGAACCAATAGAAGTGAGGGTGGAAAGGGGTTTTGAGTCCAGATGTATAGGACTTTGAAATTATCCCATGGTTAGTAAAAATGAATTATAAGTTTCTGAGGAAAAAAAAAAACATGATTCAAAGAGCATTTTAGGAAGACCTGTCAGCAGGTTTGGGGTAGGATTTGTTCCCTAACTACTGCTTCTCAGACTTGGCTGAAGGTTGCAAAAATCTGGGAGTTTAAAAAGTGTCTGGGACCCTCCCCCAGAGACTCTGATTTAATTAATCTGGAGTTAGGCCTGGGTTTGGGGAGTTTTTTAAAATGCTCCAGATGATGCTAACAGGCAGCATGAGCCTGGGCAGTGTGTGCCCAGCCTCACCATAAGACCTTGATGTAGCCCCAGCTGATTGTGCCTAAACACAGCTGACCAGGTATATGCAGAATCAACTGGTAGGGAAAAACTCCATTTAAAAAGTACTTCTGCGACATCATTTATAATATTCTTTATAGTTCAACACCTCGGTTATAATATAACAGTTTTCTTGTAAATACCTACAAATTTTTGCATTGGCCACAAAGTAGATGTGACTTTTGAAAGGGACTCATAGAGATCCTGGGAATTTGATCATTGAGGAAGTATTCCCTCTTTTACATTAAAAATAAAAGGGTCTGACAAAACACACACATTTATCATAGCCAAGAATGTAATAAAATAAGAGCAAGTCTAGTGTGAAAACACTAGACTCGCAATTATAAAAATATAAGTCCTCAAAACTGCTGGAGGAAGATCATCAGTTTCCAAATGTTGTATGCCAGTGGTTCTCAAACTGGAGGGTGCGTCTGAGTCACCTGGAGGGGACTCACAGACTGCTGGGCTCCAGGTTCAGATTTAGATGGCCCTGGGGCAGCCCAGGACTGTGTATTTCCAAAGTGTTCCTAATGTGCTGGTGGTAGTGGTGGTCTGGGCACTGACTTTGAGAACCACCCATCTTTCTGCCTTGTAAGTAGCACTAAGGCCTGGGGGGCAAAGATTGCAGGAAAAATGGTGTGATTGGAGGACATGAGTTTTGCGCTCAGATAAGGGGCTTGTCTTGGCACTTAGGGCTTCTGTCACCTGTGCCCCAGTTCAAGCCAAACCCTATTCATCTGCATGCTCCAGGGGCATCCTGCCTGAGTCTGGGAGGCATAGGTGGAAGAGAAAATTCTCTTCTCATTCTTCTTCAGAAATTTCCTGCAGAAGGGTGGCGTAGCCATTCCGTTATACAGCATGTTCTTTTTCTTCAGTAGCAAATAGTGAATTTTGGGTATTTTTTCCCCCTTTTTATTACTGTCCTCCCTGTCCCATTACCACAGGCAGAATTTGAAAAATTAAAAAAAAAAAAAAGAATCCCCTTTACATTTCTAATCCATTTACATCCTTCTAAAGACACATGTCCTTGGCACATTGAGTGGCACGCTGGATGATTTTAGTCCTTGGCCTCCACCTACCTAGGTGCCAGCCTCTGCAGGCAGCTCTGTGCAGATTTCCTGGTAGATTAGTAGACATTTGCAGTACACCTTGGGAGGGAGGAGAAGCGGAAATCATTCTCAGATGTTAAACTGAAACGTGTTTCTAATTGAAAGCATGAAGGGAATGCATACAGGGAATGCCTGAGGGGTGATCTCTGGCAGAAGCACAGTGTGGAAAGGGTGGCCCCGTCCTTGCTCCTGGCCGCTTCTGTTTGCTTGGGTGGAGTTCCTTCCCACTGGTGTGACATTCGGTAAATAATCATGGCTGAGCAGGGACCCCAGCATAGTATCTCAGATCCTGCAGCAGAGTTTGCTTGGTCAGTTAAGAAAAGCATCTTGAATTCTGGAAATACATAGCTTTTGAATTTGAATTTGAATTCTGGAAGTCTAATATGGGGACCATTTTAGAACAAGCAGCTGCTGTCCTTGTGATGCCCCCAAACACACACAGGTGCAGGGGGCAAGGTTAATCGACTTACTCCAAGGTCACCTAGAGAGCTCGCTACAGTTAAAATGTTGTTTCTGAATCCTTCCTAACATGTTGAAAATTTGTCACACTGGTCTTCTGACACCCAAGGGCCATTTCTTATTGTTTCTTATAACTAATTGGAAACATACTGTAGTAAGATGGGAGAAGTGTCTTCTCTTTTCTAGAGAATTTCAGGGTTAAGTTTTGGTGATTTGGCTTTTGATAACTGAGTCTCCTGTGGTTCACATCCCTTACATATTTTGTAATTGTTTTGTGGACTGTATCTGGTGTTGAATTCTCTGAGAGATTTTGTAGTGTGACTTTAGGACTAAGTGCTTAAGTCAGAGGTGGACTGATAGGAGAGGGTAGTATAATACATGTATTTGAACAAACAGAGAAGGGGCCTGAAGGGATTATGCCCAGAGAACTGTGGCGTTACCTAATAAAACTTAAGTCAGCAACATTTAAGCTCCAAGGGATCTTGCCTATGATCAAATCCACTAACCTTGCCTATGACACATGGCCCTGCTAACTTTATAACTGCTTGGCCAAAAGTCCGGTGATTCAAAGCTCAGGCATCTTAGCAAACAGGAGATGAAGAAGTTGTTTCTTTTTGGCTGCCTTTTGTTATAAAATTAGGGATGGTGTACAGTCCACTGGATTATTATGTAAACTAGTGGGTACCTAGAGGGTGAGTCTCCATCTTTCTGCTTTTTGTTTTCTCATATGTCAAAAGAGTGGGTTGAAAAATTTAAAATTATCTCTCTAAGCTCTGATGGCCTGTGCAAGTCTGTTGGAGAACACTATTGGGGGTTGGAATTTTTTTTTTTTTTTTAGTCTAGGCAAAAGAATTTAAACTTAGAAATTTAAGAACAAATTTAAACTTAAACCACAGAACACAATTTAATAATAGCAGAATATCTTCTAAAGATTTTCTTGTGTTTTCTGATGTGTTTCTGGGAGGCTGTTGTAGTAAGATGATTAACAGAATGGCTTTGCGGTCTGCTCACTTGGGTTTGAGTCCCAGCTCTTGTATTTACTAACAATCCTGTGATCTTTGGCAAAATACTGAACCTTCATGTCTGTTTCTTCATTTGTAAAATGGGCAATAGATATCTTCTAAAATCAGCTTCTGGGGAATCAAATTTGTTGGTATATGTTTGACTGGTGCTGGGTACCCAGGCCGCCATTAATAGATAATAGCTGTCTTCATCTTCATCATCATTGTCACCATTATCATCATCATCATCAGTGCTTAAGGTTAGCTCTATTTTATGGAAGAGCATCGGGATGCTACTGTTAATCCTTGAGGAGAATTAGTGAAGTCTACTGTAAATTAGTGAAGTCAAAGCTGTGTTTCCTATTATCTTTTCGCAGCAAGCTGTGTTCCGCCATGCCAGAATGGAGGGATGTGTCTCCGGCCTCAACTCTGTGTGTGTAAACCGGGGACCAAGGGCAAAGCCTGTGAGACGACAGTTGCCCAGGACACTTCGTCACCAGTCTTTGGAGGGCAGAATCCTGGGGTTGCCTCCTCTTGGGTTCCTCCTGAGCAAGCAGTAAAGCACACTGCATCTAAGAAGGCAGACCTTCTACCAAGAGTCAGTCCTGTGGCCCAGATGACCTTGACCCTCAAGCCAAAGCCTTCAGTAGGAGTCTCCCAGCAGATTCATTCTCAGTGAGTGTTTTATTTTTGCCTCTGGATGAGGGACACCTTAATCACTCTCCTTTTCCTGCAGTTTGCAGTGATCACTTGGATAATAGTGTCTTTCTTTCCTTTCCTCAAGACTCTTAAAAATATTTGATATGTGTATTTTTAACTTTCGCAGGGCAAATTTACTGTAAGTATGAACCATAGCAATAACTAGGATAACCAATGCTGGAAGAGAATAATAAGTAAGCCCGACTATGGCAGAGTTGTGAGTTTGAAATTCTTTTTTTAAGGGGAGAGGGTTGTGCTGTAATGTTTTGAAGTAATAATTTGAGCAAGACAAACTATGATTATTTTTTAAAATAATGGGAAAGGTAGGAACGCAGCTTTGTACAGAGAATGTATTCAAATGAATGTGAGTCCTTGGAAGGAAATAATTCCTTAACCTCAGTAGCAGGTTCAGTGTATCTTCTTTTAACACCGTGCTTACCTCCCAGTTGCCATGCAGGGCAGGTCCATTTTTGGTGAATGAGCTTGCTTTCTATTTATGGAACGTGGTTTTTTTCCCTTAGGGTTAGGGAGTAAGCACTGTGCTGATTCAGATGAGAACTCTGGGGAGGAAAGATCATCCCCGTCCTTTTGTGAGCAGCATGAGAAGCAGCCCTTCGGACGCGTGGGGTCCTTACACAAATCGTCTCCTCCTGATGGGCTGCTCCACGTGGATAATAAGATGCAGATTTTACTGCAACTATCACTTGTCGTTTGTCTAGGAATGTAAAATACAGGAAGTCCCCTTCTTAAAAATGGACCGACCTAGCAGTTCATGTGTAAGTCACTTGCTTGGAATTTCAAATGCTCTTCCCCACGTAGAGACAATTTCCACAGGGTGTTTAGTATTCAGTGAGCCCACAGAGGTTATTTAATCTGATGCTATAGATGAAATTATCCTAATTGATACTTCCCCTTTGAACTGGCCACCTACTGTTCCTGCTCAGTGGGGTCCTTAGAACTTTTTCCTTTCTCCTTTTATTCATCCGGTGGTTCTCTCTCTCTCTTTTTTTTTTTCTGTTGTTTTCTCCATTTTTGTCTCATTTCTTCTTTTCTCATAGTACTACTTCTGTTCTACTGTAATAAATGAATTTGGGGGCTAGATGGGAGTCTAACCGCTTTGCTGGCATTTCAGTTGGAAAACTCATCCTGGAGCTCTTAAGAGAAGAAATGGTAGGTCTAACTAAAACTTAGTAAGAACATTCTATATGAGAGGGACTGTTTTAAATACCCCACATGTATCACTAATTTGCAGTTTACAATGACCCTGTAAGGTAGGTACTGTTATTAACCCTACTTTACAGATGAGAAAACTGAAGTTCAGAGTGGGTAAGTGGTTTGTTTCAGATCACATAGGTAATTGATAAGTGACAGTGTTAGGATTTGAAGATAGGTAGTTTGTCCCAGCACATAGGCCCTATTGGAGAGAGTTGGCAAATATTTTCTGCAAATAACTAGATAGCAAATATTTCCAGATTTGTGGGACACATGGTTTCTGTTGGAGCTACCCAGTTCTGCCATTGTAGCAGAAAAGCAGCCTAGACAATGCTAGAGAAGGACATTGTGTATGGTGTTCCAAAAAAAACTTCACTATGGTCAGTGAAATTCGAATTTCATATAAATTTCACATCATGGAATATTATTCTTCTTTTGATGTTTTTCTTAATCATGTAAAAACCATTCTTAGGGGCCATACAAAAACAAGCTGAGGGCTGGATTTGGCCCATGAACTGCAGTTGCTCACCCTTTCTTTAAAGGATAATAGTGCTTTTTTTGGTGCCAGATTATGAATATAACTGTGTGTCCTTGGAATGATATAAAGCTTTGATTATATCATAGCCAGACATCTCCCTTCCAGCATTGTTCTGATCTTAAAAACAAAGAACAATTCTATGTTGAACTATGCTTTGGCGATCAAGAGAGTCAGATTACTGTGCATTGCAAGTATTTTTTCTACCATTATTACTTACATAAACTGTGAAGTAATTTATAGCAACATTGTCAATCTCGAGTATCACCATCTACTCTTTGAATCTGCCCCTCTACAATGTGTGTGTGTGTATATATGTATATATATGTGCAATGTATACATATGTACATGCACAGTGAGTGTGTGTGTGTACATATATATATATATATATATATATATGGATTTTTGTTAGTAAGAACCATTTCTTAGATAAAAGAACAACATTTCTTCTCTTCCTCCTCTTGCTTTTCTTTCTTTTCCTCCTTCTTCTTCTTGCTCTTCTTCCTCCTTTTCTCTTCCTCTTCTTTCTCCTCCTCCCTCTTCTCCTTCTCCTTGTTCTAGCAACGTTGTAGTTTAGACAAGAATGCTGTGGGTCAAAGAGGCCAAGGTTTCAGCTCTGACTCGGCTTTGGTAAAATAAAAGTCATTAGGTAGTTTCCTCCAGAGACTTCGTCTGCTGAATCAAGATGCTTTTAATGGTACTGGATTGTAGGCATGAGTACATGGGTGTGCCTGCTGTGTGCTCTTGGGTAAGAAGAGATGCCTAAGCTGCTATCAATTCTGATTTACTTGATATGCTTTTATAGATTACAGGTCTTTATTTGGTCCCTGTAGGGAGGATTAAATCCTATTCTTAAGGAGATTTTGAAATAAGTGATCTATAACCTTAGAGGAGCACAAAGGAATCGACACTGTTGGCCCATTGATCAAATTAGGTAATGACACAATCATTTCAAATCGTATTTAATCAAACTGCCAGGGAGTCCATGGGATAGGTCCATTTTGGGCACTTTGTCTTCTAATTAAAAAACATTGCCTATTTTAGGGTTTTTCAAGGTGTTGTTTATTTTAACAAGGAGGAGATTGATTAGGCCTCTTTAAAATAAAGTTGCTTAAAGTGCCAGAATGTCAATGCTCACATTCATCCCGTGGCATGTGAAGTGCTTTGGTCTTGACCATTGGTTCAGCAAGTTTTTGTCACGTATTTCCCTGTAGAGTAGGTGCTGTTCTTGGCCCTGGGACCACTGAGCAGCCAGACCCAGTGCCTGCTTTCCTGAAGAGCACAGTCTGCAGAGGGCCAGACCACTGACAAGTGGTGTCATTAAATTCACGTCTGGTGTGTTATGTGCTGTGGCAGTGGAGGCCGGGGAGTGCTGAGTGGGTGTCAGGTGGAGAGGGACAGTGGCTTAAGACAGACTGTGAGGAATGGCGCTGAGGACAAGTGGCGTTTAAGGAAGAGCCTGAAGGAGGGAGGGCAGGAATCATGCATAAGAAGGCTGGAGAAGAGGCCTGGAGGCTTGAGTGTGCCTGGCCTGTGGGAGAGGCGGCTTAGGCTGGTGAAACTGGATTGTTAGAATAACACATTTTAGGTAGGTGGATATTAGATGGATTGGTTTAACCTTTGGCTGATTTGGTTGTAGGTGCTCGACTTAAAACAGAATACTAGCAAAGTTCTGTAGGGACTCAAAGGAAGAAGTGGCTGTTTCTGGATTTTTGAGTGTTTGGGAAGTGGAGGTTCAGGGAGAGCCCTCTGGAGAAGGTAGTTTGTGAGCTTGAAAAGTCAGTTAATTCAGACACAGAACTGAGCAGTGCATTTCTGGAGGAGGCAGGGATGTGAGATCAGAGCACGGGCTGTATTAATTGTCTCCTGTATAACAGATCAGCTCGAAGCTTAGCAGGCAGCATTTACTGATTGACAGTCTGTGTGTCAGGAATCCAGGAGGCACATGGTTGGGAGCCCTGGCTCAGAGTCTCTCTTGAGGTTGCAAGTCCAGAAATCAGCAGGGCAGCTGTCTTCTAGAGCTCTGCTGAGCTGGGGATCCACCACGGCATGGCTCACACCCTTGGTTTTCAGAAGGAGGCCTCATCTCCAAGACTGGCTATTGGAATGAAGCTTCCCCTTCTCTCTGTGTGGACCTTTCCGAATGGCTGTTCGAGTGTCTTTATGACTTGGCTGCTGGTCCCTCCCCAAGTCAGTGATCCCAGCCTAGGAGCGCCAGGGGAAAGCCACAGTGACTATAGTTTGTGGTCCTGTTGAAGGCACACCCTCACTGCCACAATATTCTGCTCATTAGAAGTGAATCACACATTCAAAAGGACTAGCATGTCAGGGAGAAATATTAAGAAATCTGTGAACATATGTACATTTAGGATATGATTCAATTGGAGCTTGATATAAATGAAGACTAGTGGTCATATAGGCATGAAAGATTGGTTGAAAACCAGGGTAATGATAAAGATTTCAACAAAGCAATGACTAAAAAAAAAAAAAAAAAAAGAGAGAGAGATACAAAATAGAAAATAAAAGCAATGGAGGAAGAACTTATAGTTTTTAAAAAAATGCTTAAGAAACTCATTAACCGATCCCAATAGTTTTGTGCAAATGCTAAAGTTGGTTAGAAACTTGATGGTCTGAGCGAATGATGGTTGGTTTTGGCGGGTTGTGGTGATTGCACTGTGGTTGTTTGGAAGGAGGGATATTTACAGATGAAAGTGTGTGATGTCTGAGATTTAATTCACAATAGTGCAGTGGGTTGAGGTACAGGGTAACTGGATCATCTGTGAGGTGATCATTACTGAAGCTGGATAAGGAGGTTTCTTACAAAACACTCCCTTTTTATATTTTTGAAATTTTCTTTAATAAAGACTAATAAAAGGAAGTTTGAAGTAAAAGAATCCTGTAATTTTACTTGGGCTTTGGAAGATTAGTCTCATTGTGGTATCTAAAATGGTCTTAGAAGATGGCTCTGAATCAGTTACAGTAGAGGTAATAATGCAGAGGATGGAAATGACCTTGAGTTAGAGTCATGAAAAACCTTGGCACCTAGTTGAACTTGGAAAGCAAAAGAGAAAGAATCAGATAAGGACCTGGCTTGCGACTATGAGAGAAAGGGAGGACGTGGAGGCCTTTACATTTTACTGGTTTTTGAGGATTGCTCAGTAAGATCATGAATCTCCAGGGTCTTTGAAGGTATTTGGTACTTGATGAATGGCGTGGTCTTTGACAGAGT